TTCCATTCATTGAGTTTTCACTCATTGGACCACATATGTCCGAGTGAATTAGTGCAAGCTTTTAATTTACCCTCCAATATGTCTGAGTAGGAAATGCCTGTCGAGCCATTTTTCCCAACTAGCAGACACCACAAACCTTTTCGGTAGCTCCTATATTTGGAAGATCCTTGGTTAGGTCTCCCTTCTGCAACTGAAGTAACCCAGCAGCATGATAATGGCCAAAACGTCTATGCCACAGCTTCCCTTCAGGTATTGTGACAGTGTTTGCCATTTCAACTACTTCTTGGAGATTCAAGGAGTACGCTTGGTTCCTTTTTGGAATGAGAGCAATCAATTTGTCTTCATGATTATGGATTCTACAGCATTGGTTTTTGAATGAAACTGAGTATCCATTATTGGTCATTTGATTTACACTAAGCAGATTTTGAGAGAGAGTGGGAACGAAATTCACATCAGTGATAAGTTTCCTACCTTCCCTCGTTTCTATAGCAACATTACCTTTGCCTTTTATGGATTCCAGGATACCGTTTTCAAGTCTTACTTGGCCTGTTGCTGATTTGTCAAGTGACACAAACATGACTTCATTCTTGCACATGTGAGAAGTGCAACCACTATCAACAACCCAGAGGCTGTCGTCTTCCACTATCAATTCACTTGAAGCAACAAGAATTGTATTACTTTGCTCACTGGATATCTCAGTGACATTTATATGTTGCAGCTCCTGCTTAGATTGTGCAGCTTCCAGCTTTTGTTTTTGCCTACAGAATTTCTCCTTGTGGCCAAGTCTTTTGCAGAAGTTGCATCAGACAACTTTCTTTCCCTTATACCAGCATTCACTCTCAAAATGATTTGTGAGGGAGCAGATGTTGCAAGGAGGATACTTCTTCTATTTTCTGGAACTTCGGTTTCCAGTTTGATTTCCTCCATTCTTTCTGCCTTGATACTGATTTGAAGGGGTAGCTTTGGTTTGAGACGAAAATAAGGCTCCTTCAGTAGGTACACGAGCATGCATGTTGACACGTTGCTCCTGTGATTGCAGCTTATTGATTAGTTCAGCTGAAGAAATCTTATCAATATCTGCAAGTTCCTCTAAAGCTGAAATTTTAGACTCAAATTTTGGTGTAAACTTATAAGAATTTATTCTACCACCCTTGATTCAGGAAAGTCCTCCCCCAACAATCTCATTTTATTCACAATATCCGAGAGTTTGGAGGCATAGTCCCTAACAGACTCATTTTCTTGCATTCTGTGTAATGCAAACTCACTTTTCAGCCTCAGTAGTTTGATCTTCTTGCTTCTGTCTCCTCCATCAAACTCTTATTTCAGTTTCTCTCACGCTTCCTTGGGTGATTCATAGTTCATAATCCTAGAGAAAACCCTGTCTGAACTGCTGAGAAGAGGCAGGCAATTGCTTTTGGGTTTCTTGGCCTTCTCTTCCTCG